TCAGAGCCTGCCATCGGGAATAGCGGACTGGCCCGAACACAATCAGGTTGATTGTGTTCGGCCCGGCCCACCGGGCAAGTGCACGGTTTGCCCTATGGCCTGTCCGGCCCTGCTCACCACTATCAAACACTGATAGCACGAGCCATAGGAAGTCATTCAAAGTAACCCTTTTCACTCCAGATAGCTAATGTTTATGTGTGTATGGCAGTCTTCCTCCTCCTAATTTTTATTAATTCCCCAAAACCCCACCTTAACGGTAAATCCTTAATCTGTAAAAAGTATGAAATATCCTTACCACACATCCACCATTAGATCCCACTTTTGGCTTTTATTTAAAATTTTATTTAACTTTATTTTTTTAAAACCTTTTTTTTTTTTTTACTTGACTTTATTGCTATCACGGTAAGAGGCTCACAAGTCCCCCTATGCGATAGCATCTTAGTGGTGAAAGGTTCACTTTAAGGAGACATTAGGGGTCTAAAAGATTGAAACCCATTGCTGATAACAGATCATGCTTGATCAGCTTCTTCCCTGGCCTCTCTGGCTGGGGAATGACAGCTGAGAAAACGGAAGTGACAAAATTATTGTTGCTTCCAGGTTCATTCAACTGGGAGGAGCATAACAAACTGATGTTCACTGGTCTCTCTCACCTCTACCTGCCAACACCTGCAATACTGGTCCCAGGCCCACAGAAGGTGCAGCCAAGCAGGGGGTATCGGGTGGGGAGGACATGTGCACCTGCCCATGGAAGTGATCAGGCGGCCTCGCAGCCACCCGAATCACTTCCAGTGTATATGGAAGTCTGCTTGCAGGGGCTCGCTGCTGCTGATGTATGACATACATTGTTGGAAGCCAGCTGGGAGTCTGCTTTTAGGGGCCGGCTGCCACCGATGTATGATATACTTTGGTGGCAACAAAGGTGTTAAACATTGCGGCTACTGCATATTGTGCACTAGCCACAATGTTCAATAGACCCCCGCCCCCCCCCATGTCTAAATGCCTGAGGCAAAAGTTTCAGGTGGTCTCATTGTAGGGACGGCTGTGAGTAGTTACAAACGGTTCCTATGTGGATCAACTTGTAAAGATATTGCTGGGCTCATCCATGTTTATACAGAACTCAAGCGTGGCAAGTAATTGTGAAACAAAGTATAAACCAGATATTTCCGGCAGGACTTGGAAGGAGGGAACAGTGCGGAGTTACAAAGTAATTTACACGGCTGAACGGTTCACAAATATTGACGTTGGTGAATAATGTGGATGATATTTATTCGTCATGATGAGAATATGAAGAGGTTCATCGGGATAAGATATTTTTAAATATGTGAAATAATTTTTGCAATTTTCATTATTATTATTAAAGGAGAACTATGAGGTGAGTGAAAATGACTCATCCTCATAGTTCGAGCCGACGTGTGACAATTAAACTGTCACATGTCGGCTCAATAGATCGGGAAGTGAGCGAACACATACCGTCGCTCGCTCACTTCTCGATCCTGTGCCTGCAAAGAACCGTGACTGTCACTCACTGCTCCCTGCAGGGATCCCCTCTCCTCTCTCCAATCCTCCAGCGCTGACTGGAGGAATAGACGGGGAGGGGGCGGGTACAGCTGTCTCTGCCTCTAGATAGGCAGAGCCAGCTGTCACTCACGCAGCTGGGTGGATCTCGACAGTCATGTTGGGATCCGTCCCGGCTGCGGCGGTCTCAGTATACCGCGAGATATACTGCGATATACTGAGCTTTGGGTCACGGGAGGATGCTAGTATATGCCCTCCTGTGACCCTTAAGAGAACTATGGAGAAAAACACTGACCCCATACTTCTCCTTTAATAAAGAATTAAAGATGAGCTATTGGCGCAAACTATTGGCGCTATATAATCTTATATAATAATAATATAATGCAGTGAAAGGTTTATCTCCAAGCAAAGGGGGAATTAGTATGAGGCGACTGAACATGATCTGTGCTTGATTAGCTACATTGGACTGAAAAGGCGACATTAGGGGTCTATCAGACCCCTAACGTCTCCTTAAAAAGAAGCAGTAATGGGCTTGCTATCCCCCTATGTCATACAAATAAAGTTAATTAAAAAAATTACATCAAAATAAATTTTAAAAAATTTAAAAACACCCAAAAATGTTTTTTAGTAGTCTCCAGCAAACACGTTGGGTGCACCTACAAACAAAAACAACGATTGTGCCACACATGATGCGTATTGCCGCACACGTAGCAGTGAGATATAGGTCCTTTATTACATCTTTTATAGACATGCATACGTCAGACTTGAAAAGGAAAAGGAAAGAAAAAAAGAGGGAGCTGGTTCCAAAAAAACCGGACTAAAGCCCTGTTTTTTTTATCTACATGTTGATGTAAATAGATGCAGCACCAGGACAATTGCTGAACAGTTTAAAAAGGTGCAGATACAGATATAAGGGTGAAGAGTTTGGAGAAGGCAGGAGAAGTGAACAATCTAGGACAACATAGCTGAACTGGAAAGTGAGCTAAATTGGAGATTTTTTCCAAATCGAATATTTTGGCCTAGATTGTTCTCTTCTCCAAACCCTTCACCCTTTTGTGAATAACCCTGTTAGTCCTCATTCACATGGACAATTGAACACATGCAATTAAATGCGTTTATATCCCACCTCATCCTAACAACTGAACTATCACTTTCTTAAACAATTCATCCCCACACAGCTACCTCCTCATGTATCAATGGCCCCTCCCTTTTAGATTGTAAGCCCTCAGGGGCAGGGCCCTCCTTACCATCTGGTCTTGAATTGCATTGTGATTGTAATGTCTTTCTTATATTGTAAAGCGCTGCGCAAACTGTTGGCGCTATATAAATCCTGTATAATAATATGCATTTAGAAAGCTTTTCTAAAAGAATACATATGCATCTAATGATTCCTCAATAGGTTCATTCACGTGTTGCAAATAGGGATGGCCTGGATGTTCCACTCGAGCTTGAGTTCGACTTGAACATCGCTAGTACGCGTGTTCTGTGCAGCAGGTGTCAGCGGGTGGCTTCTGACAAAATATCAGTAAAGGATGTTTGCATGATGAAGGAGATCCTGTGAGACCCCGAAAACGTTGTTTAGAGTGTTCTACTTGCAACTGGTACGTTAAAAAAACACGTACTGAACTTGCTTTTGAGTGCCGGTGTCCATCCTTTACTACCATCAGAGGGGGTGACACCAAAGTGACTCAAAGTCCTTTTGGTGTCACCCCCAGGACCGGATTTCCCACAAGGCCAACCGAGGCTCGGCCTCGGGGCAGCAGGGGTGTGGAATTCCTATCTCCTGACGCCCGGGACATGCAGTTCTGGGCGCCGGACGGGTAGTTGTTTTCTACATTTAGCCCTACTTCGGGCAAGCAGAGCTAAATGTAGAGTGGGGAAGCTGCCGCTCGTTCTGTACAAGTGCTAAAAAATAAAGGAAAAAAAAATTAAAAATGAAAACCAACCCTGCTGCCCCGCCATCTGGGGAGGAAATTTGGCGGGGAGGGGGGCACACTAAGGAACCTGGCCTTGGGGCAGCAGAGAGAGTAAATCCGGCCCAGGTCACCCCCTCTGAAAAGTTGGGCACCCGGTCATCCAACAGCTGTACAAGAGAGGAGTGGATCCGGCAGGATAAGATAAACGTCCCTTCCTCTCTCTGCTGGCTTCCATCACTGAGATCCCCGGCTTATGCTATCCAAAACCTCGCTTCTACTTTAAGTGAGCCATAGTTGGACCTGTCGGTACCACCCCGGTCAACAAAAGTCAATTTAAAAACTGACTGAGCCGGATGGAAAACAGTGACTGCATCCTATGAGATGCAATTAATATTTAGGTATTGAAGCAGCCACAGGTGCTGAATAAAATAGCCGGTAGTGGAGGTTCCTCCATTGGACAGGAGGTGAAGGGAACAGTGGCGTCACGAGGGGGGTGCGGCCCGCACTTGGTGACACCATCGGAGGGGGTGACAACAAAATGACTCAAAGTCCTTTTGGTGTCACCCCGCCTCTGAAAAGTCAGGCACTCGGTCATCCAACAGCTGTACAAGATAGGAGGGGACCCGGCGGGATAAGGTACACGTCCCTTCCTCTCTCTGCTGGCGACCATCACTGAGATCCCCGGCTCTGGGTGACACTCTGCCTGGAAGGGAAATCTCCCCGATGTCCAAAATCTAAAAAATGCTGACAAGGGTTATAATTCTCCCTTATGCTATCCAAAACTTTAGTTCTACTTTAAGTAAGCCATACACGGCTCTGAGCCATAGTTGGACCTGTCGGTACCACCGCAGTCAACAAAAATCGTTTTAAAAGTTGACTGAGCCGGGTGGAAAACAGTGACTGCATCCTATCAGATGCAATGAATCATTTGGGTATTCAAGTAGCCAATAAAATAGCTGGCAATGGAGATTCCTCCATCCATACCTTATAGTAGGGTTGCCACCTGCCCGGGTTTCATGGCAGCTGAAACCCGGACACATGATGTCAGGCAGACAGGTGCGACCAAAATTGCCCTAGGGGCAACCAAAATTAACCTAGGGGCTGCTGCCCCCCCCCACACTGAATATGGTCTCACTATTTACAAATAATTAAGCCGCGACTCATTCTCCTAAAAAAAATTCCGTGCATCGCTTAGTGTTCCGGTTTCGCTGGAAGAAAAGGTGGCAACCCTAACTGTATAGCCCTATAGGGGAATGGATTGATTGTGCGACTTTCAGCCCGCAGGTTGATGAGAGGCAATCTGCATGTGTACGGCTGGCTTTGGGAGCGATGGTTAAACCAGGCAGTCTGTGGCTTTCTATGTCGCCTTTGACCAGGCGAGCATGACCCGCTGTGGCCCTCTGCGAAAGGTTTTTTTTTTTAAAACGGTGAGTGCTTTGCCCAGGAAGGATCTGTTATCTGAACGCTGAGAATGAACACAGCAGAAGGTTTTCTCTATTGTCAACAGCTTGCTTGAGCACGCCTCTCCCACTCCCTTGCAAACATCCTTTCACTGAACTGGAACAGTTTACACACGCTCCCTTACTCGCCTCCCTTGATATCGCCCCAGCTGCCTAAAAGACCAGTCTGTGCCCCTGGAGGGACGGCACTGTCTGCAGATTTCACATCTCTGTTGATGGCAAACACATAAAGTCACCGGTGCGATATCGACAATGAGGCTGCTGCTGGGCTGGAAGGTAGGTGCTGCCGTTCCGTTCGATGTGTTCTCTTCTTTTCTTGTGTTCAGTAACACCTAGTGATGTACAGGGGGGGCACCTAGTGATGTACAGGCGGGGCACCTAGTGACGTACAGCGGGGGCACTGGGTGTTAAACATTCGATCCATCCAGACCGATATGCTTTACTTGTTGTTTGACGTATTCTTCTGCGATGCTTCAAATCTTTCACGTCTGGAGGAGCTCACAATGTAATATTCGTACTTACAGGGGCACCGTGATGGCAGTGTGGGTTGTGAGCCACCTAGAGTAGCATTATGGTTTTTTGGGGGTTCGCGGGCCAAGGAGAACATTGTGTAGCAAATAAGTTGCGCTCGGTCTGAGTGGATGTTAATTCAATATTTGTGATGAACAATCTCTTAGTTTAAAGAGGAAAGAAATACAGTGTACAATTACCGGAAATCTATATCTTGGCATGTGACAGTGAAATGTAACAAAAATAAATGATGAAAGTATCAATCACAGCCCAGTGTGTCATTGAGCGTTCATTTATGTTTAAACGCACCCACAGTAGCCAAACAAGCACTCTAGTGTTATATTGGTCTAATTAGCTATTTAGATATTCACTCCTAGCGCAGTGATTTTTGTATTACCAAGGAGAACATTGCAAGCACATGGGGAGAACGAGCCGTCTCACTGAAGGCAAATTGTCATCTGAAGAAGCAATATAGAACGGTCGCACTGATCCTACGTCTGTGCTATGATCTGCCACCTTTGCCACCTTATTGGTACATTGATAAAAGAACAGAAATATGGAATTGGGGGGGGGAATCGGGGGTACACGGGAAAAGGTCGGTTTATAAAAACTTTGCATCCATTGTTTATTCAAACTGCATGTGCATTCGCTTATTAGCTTTAGGGATTTTTTGCACAATGTATAAAGCTGTGGCTGTTGTGTGAAGGGGGCAATATCCGATGTTCTTGGGGTATTGTCTCTTAGGATCGGATGTTCTTAGAGTAATTTATCTTTTCATCAATAGTATTATTAGAATATTTTCACTTAGGAGCGCATGTTCTTGGGGTATATTCTCTTGGGATCGAATGTTCTTAGAGTAATTTAGCTTTTGATCAAATGTATTATTAGGATATTTTCTCTTAGGAGCGCATGTTCTTGGGGTATTTTCTCTTAGGATGGGATGTTCTTGGGGTATTTTCTCTTAGGATGGGATGTTCTTGGGGTATTTTCTCTTAGGATTGCATGTTCTTGGGGTATTTTCTCTTAGGATCGGATGTTCTTAGAGTAATTTATCTTTCAATCAAATGTATTACTAGGATATTATTGTATTATTGGGGTATTTTCTCTTAGGATCGGATGTTCTTAGAGTAATTTATCTTTTTATCAATAGTATTATTAGCATATTTTCACTTAGGAGCGCATGTTTTGGGGTATTTTCTCTTAGGAGCACATGTTCTTGGGGTATTTTCTCTTAGGAGCGCATGTTCTTGGGGTATTTTCTCTTAGGATGGCATGTTCTTGGGGTATTTTCTCTTAGGATGGGATGTTCTTGGGGTATTTTCTCTTAGGATCGCATGTTCTTGGGGTATTTTCTCTTAGGATCGGATGTTCTCAGAGTAATTAATCTTTCGATCAAATGTATTATTAGGATATTATTTTATTATTGGTGTATTTTCTCTTAGGATCGCATGTTCTTGGGGTATATTCTCTTGGGATCAGATGTTCTTGGGGTATATTCTCTTCTCTGTCTGAAACTGGAGCATCCCCTAAGAAAATAATCACAACTTAAGAAGTCCCCGTGACCACTTCTTCAAGATGCGACAGTTACGCTTTGTGCCTGGAGTTACGAGTCTTCTTTCCTGGAGTCTATTAAACCTCATTTATCAACAACATTACACTAGCTTGATAAATCTGGTGCAAATATATTCCGTGCAAGTTCAAACACTCGCCATTGCTATGATAAATTCCCCCGAGTGTAAATAGCCTGTGAGTGTTCCATTACTGCAGCCTCCAGCCAAAAACTAAAACATAAATGGTGCATGAACTCAGCATTGAAAAGGGAGACTCGGTTATTTTCAGTGACAGATTATTTGGCGTTCATATTGCCGGGATTACTTTTTTTTTAAATATACATTTGCATCCTTTTTATACTACATCTTTGTATGTGGTATACACCCCGCCGTGTCGTCATCGCGCGTGACGTCATTGCGCATGCGCGGCCATCTGATTGACGCCGGCAGAGAGAGGAGGGGACGTCCGCCCAGTGTCATACCTCACCCTGCCGGGTGAACGTCCCCTCCTCTCTCTGCCAGTGTCTCCTGACACTGTCGGGCTCTCGGTCCACGACCGAGTGCCTGACTTTTTAAAGGGGGTGACACCAAAATGACTGTCTGTCATTTTGGTGTCACCCATGCTATGGTGTTACCCGGGTACGGGCTACACCCCCCTTGTGACACCACTGCGTAGATTCTATCTCTAGGAGCAGATCTTCTAACTTCCTTAAAGTAGTATTAAGGTCTGGGCTTTTTTTACCTTATTGCATTCTCTGCATTAGGCTAAAAAGGGCCCAGCACCTTTTTTCTCCCCCATGTAGAATATTCACTTGGGCTTTTATATATATTATATATGTGTGTGTGTGTAAATATATATAAAAGCCCAAGTGAATATTCTACACCCCAGTCCCCCCCACACTTACCTGTCAGCAACGCTCATCCCCGCCGCCGGTCCCAAAGCGATCCTCCGTTCCCCGTACTTCCAGGTTGCGGGGGGAGGATACTGATGGCAGAGGAGCCATAGGCTCCTTCTGCTATTAATCAAATAGGGAAGGGGCGTGGCCTGCCACAGGGCTGTGTGTGTCTATGGACGCACAGAGCCACTGCGGGCATGAGCGCTCACGGGTGCCTCCATTAGAACGATGGTGGCACCTGTGCAGGGGGCGGGTGAAAGAGCGCTGCGGGGACCCACTAGGAAATAAAAAGTTTTAAAAAAAAGCAGCAACAGCCTGCAGCAAAGGAGTGTCCACTTAAAGGAAAAAAAAATATGAGGCTATAATATCACTTTACATGTGACCCTTGGACTTAAAGTTTGTGGATTTGTTGTTGTCACAATAAAGACAATGTATGAAGATTGTGGGTGTTGTCGGGTTGGAAAGGGAAACTTGTGGCATTTCAGTGATGGATTGTATGGAGTTTTTCTTCTTTCATTTTTGTTGTAACTTCCCCATGTTTTACATCCCTTTCATGCCATACTTGCACGCTGTTTTGTCTGCAGGTTATATAAATAGCAGCAAACCTTTTAAGAGCGACACCTTCTCATGCAAAATATTTAGGCAGAGGACGCACCTTTGTTACAGCGTTTGTCTAAAAAACTAAATCTTTTTACCATGAATCATTTTACTGCTTCTTGTCCTCTGAACTCATTTGAAAAGGACCAAGGCAATATTTTGGTGACCGAGAAGCGGTTGGCACAAGTTTTCCTTAAAAAACCTAACTCCATGCTTTTGTTAAATCTGCCCAGGCCCATTCCTATAATGATGGCCCTGGGTAGATCAGAGATCAGGCGGCAGACGGTAGATCAGACGGCATCACTTTGGGTCACATGGGGGTCGGCAGGCAATGCAAGATGGCTGCACAGTTTGCCTGCTGCCCCCTTTAGGGCCAGAGTGTGCAAGGCAAGGAGATGTGTGGAGCGGTGACTACTTTACAACACACACAGGGACCATGGGGAACAAAATTAGCCCCCCTCCATGCGGAAGGAAGTGACAGCACCAATTCAGAGATGATTTGAGGATCTACAGCCGAGTGATACACAAATAAGATACATTGCTGTTAATAATTAAGGCACCTGAATGTATTTTTAAGATTTATCTCCTGAGTTTAGTGTCACTTTAAGTGTATATTTCCTATGCTCCATAGCTACATCTAGTGGCCATAATGTTGTATTACTTGACATTCCACCTGATTGAAGAAAATATATTAAGAACATTCCTTTTTGCTTCTATCTGCACAGAGCGTTTGAACGTTGCAAATCTCTGTGAACGCTGCAAATGTTCACAGACATCTGCAAGACGTATGACTCTATACTGTTTATAAATACCCCCCTTTGTGTCTGAAGGTAAATCAGCCCAATGGTGCCCAGACAGCAAAAAAAAAATGGAAAAACATATTGTATCTAAAACAAAGTTGTTACACTTTATTTTCATGATGCAAACCTAGCTAGATCTATTGTTCAGTATTGGAGTAGCATGCACGATCTGACGGCACAGCAACAGAGGGAAAAAGCAGGAAGCAGATACAAGGAAGAAGACACCTAATGATGTCACAGAAGAAAATGCTTTGCGGTAGCCAAAGAAAAAAAATGTTCAAAAAACACATGAACTTTTTTTTCCTCTCACTTCCTGTTGCATTTGCAGGACAGCAAGAGAAAAAATGGGGCTTTGAAAGTGTCACTCTAGGCATGGAACACATATTGCATATTTGATTGTAAAAAATTAATTTTAATTATACAAATAAATACATATATATATAATAATAAATAAATACACATACATAATACAAAACAGGGTCACTATATATACCCTTCGGTTATATGCTCATAATGACTTCCTACACATATTATGATCTAAAAACACAAAAGGCCTATAGCCTCCCTGGACCACACGACCACATACTAGGCATCAATAATGTACTAATCATTAATAAATATTGCTAAAAATCCTTAAGTTCATCATATATTGTCATAATTGGATTGTAGACTCTTGCATCGATGCACCGTGGGTCCATTCTTCTATGCGTTTCACTAAAAAGCTTCCTCAGGAAGATGGGAGGCTGCCTGTAATATTTAAATATCATGGGTATAACCATATGTGACTATCCTAAGTTGTGACAGAAGATTATTTTTGTATTGCATAATAAACAGATAACAGACATTAGACTAAAAATAAATAGTCGTCTATGTCCCCTCTTGAGGATGGTTATACTCGCACTGATGACATGATTGGGCCGATG